CCCCAAAACCCCAAAACCCCAAAACCCCTTTAAGGGGTAGATTGGTTGAAATTAAAAATGACTGAAGGAAGTAGGAAGTAGGAAGGGATGGAAGGGTTTGTGTATTATTTGGGGGGTTTGTGAAGGAATAGGTGGAGGAATGCAGATCAAAGGGAGAAAGATGGTAGAGAAGGGGTCTGAAGCGTGAAAGGGATTGAAATTTGATTCTAAGAACAGTTGGCTCTTAATTGCTATATTTTGTATGGCGATGCTATCTGTCGCTGATTGAGAGTAAGTTTATGGACATTAGATGTTTTAGTACTTAAAGGATGGGATTGTCTCTAACACAAAAATTTGTATTTCTTTACTTATAACATACCTTTTTGAGAAAGATCTAGGTAATATATTGCCAAAGAAAAATGCATCACGCTTATTGCTTAACTTATAATCTAAAAACCAACATTCAGACCTCAATTTTTCATCCTTTTAGTTTTAAGTATAACTTTGTGGGGAAAATTATAACTCAATAAGATTAATTATAATCATAAATTGCCTTCATAAACCACCAAACTAATCTGTACTAAGTTATCTAATATATAGAAAGATCAAGATTTTCTCAAGTGAGGATTTTTTCACATCTATTTTACCTAACATTTCCAATTGAATTATGAGCGACTACAAACTTCTAATTTATGCTAATTCTGCCCAAAAGGAGTTTTCATACTCACCGCTAACTATAGCAAGGAATGCAAAGGAATGAAGGATGAGTTCGGGCTGGAGAACTGTATCAAGGACAGACTCTCCTTTACTAAAGAATCAGTGACCTACCAAATCAATCATGCTATAGCTGTAGATGGTAGTATCTATCTTCTAGCAAACGATGCTTCAAATACAGCAACTTTGTTTTATAGATATAATGCAAGAACATTTAGTGCTGATTGGGTTTATCGAGAAGAAGCCTATTTGGAAATATTAGCAGTTACTCCTGACGAGCTGAGCTTGTTCGGAGCTGTTGATGGCCAGGGAAATAATCAAAGCATATCCCTTTTTGTCTATCAGACAACATCTGCACGACTCTCGCTGAGTCGGATTATAACAGGGTAAGGAAGATCTTATAGAAAGCAAAGCATCTCTAAATTTTCATATCTTTTTGAGAATAAATTTGTGTGTTCAGGGTCTATTAAATTCTATTTGGTTATTTTGCCATGACGTATATCTCACCTTTTCATTATTTTATTTCATAAATTTTTCAAAGCTAATTCTACATAAAATGATACATCTCTTACTTCTCTTAAAACCATTCTTAATTTTTTTGCTAATCCTAATTACTCTAGATACTCTGCATATTTCCCAACAAGCAATCATCAGATGGAAGTTATCAGCAATTCGAATATTTGTAAGTTTGGATTAGCCAATTAAATGATTCCAAAAATTATCCACCCATCTAGACTCACCATATCATAGATATATTTGCTAATTCCGTGAACACGCAGATAGACCTGATCAATATAAACATCAATGATGGGTCAATGAACATTATTGAGATGCCGAATACATTTACGTTTAGTCAGCTTCTATATAGCTCTACATCTAACAGCCTCTTGGTAAAGCTAGACCTAACAAATAGATAATGTACCATCTTACTGCTTCAAAAGACCTTCGTTTTGGAGGCATAAATTTGAATGGAAACTCAGTGTTTCAGAGTGCCGGGATTACTTGAGTCAATGAGCTCGATATCAGCTGTACTGAAGATGTAAATCCCGCTAAAGCTATCAACGATGATCAGACTATTGGATATTTTCTGACAACATTCCAACCACTTGGGATGTTCTTTATATCACTAAACTTTAATTCTGCTGATATTATTCATGGGCAAACCTTTATTCCCTCTGTTTCTGTGCAAAGAGGCCACCATCTTCATTATTATGGTGGTTATGTGTATCTTATTTTTGAGACAACAGATAGTAAATTTGTCTTTGCTAAATATGAGGCTTCTTCTGATACTTTTACTGATGAAATCTATGAAACATCTGTCCAATACCGTAAATCGTTTTTCATCATCACTACAATTTTTTCTGGAGGATTTGGTGAAGAAGGAGGAGCCTCTAGCTCAATGTCAATACTGTTTCATGTTGGAAACAAAGGAGATGAGACTATATTTTGTTCCTGTTATTACGGTAAGTTTGAATTAACTCTACTTTTTCAAATAAACCTAATCTTGTCTTTTATTTATTCTATAGACTTTGAGAAATCCTCAATTACTCTGAGTGTTCCCTCTTACACGGCCAAGATTATGACAGTTCAGGGCGACACATTATCAGTTACAGGTACAAGAACAAATACATTCACCCCAGTAACAACAGGAAGTATTTTATCAGCCCTAAATCCAAAAATTACTAACGAAGTAGGTTATCCTAAAATATTTGTTTTGATGAATCCCGATTTAGAGAGTCAAGCTATTCGAATGTAATCCTTCCAAAATAGAGATTAAAAAAGGAGCCAACACCACAGTTAATATCTGCCTCCCTTATTCAATGACCTGGGCTTCTACACTAAGCTATACGTTCTCCCAGAATAAAGAGGATGAAGATCAAGTCTCCTATATTCTCAGCTACGATGATGGTACTAGTAAATTGAGGGTTGTCAGCCAAGAAGATACTCTTGAATCAACTACTTCAAATTTTACAGTCAGTATGTCTATGCTATTATTTCTCTAATTTTCTGTATAGCCGCTTCCTCAAGTTATGGAAAAACCTACAACACAGAAGTCACTATCGAAAAAAGTTTAGATTCTGGAGATCAAGTTGCTATTTCCGGACTCCAAGGGGGAATTATGGCTGTTGGAGCTGTATCCTCAATTTTTGGAGCAATCATAGGTGGATCTCTAATCCAAGCTTTATGGATGATCTTCAATCAACAAAAGATGCTCCTATTCTTCATTCTAATGGACACATATATTGATGCATTAGTAAAATTTATTCTACTAAAACAAAATTTCGGTCTGTTTCATTTCGATTTTTTGAGTGTAGTGACTCCCAGTTTTATAACAACACCTGTATTAACCAAAGAGATGGACACTGAACAGAAGACAGAACCTTTAGAAGAGATTGGGTTCGAATACGAAAGCTTTCTCAGAACTTATTGGACTCCAATTTTAATGATACTCCTAAGTGCTGGTATCCATATTTCATCCAGAATAATTTTCAAAAACTTTCCTTCATTATCACAGGCGAATTCTGATGAAGCTAAAAGAGAAAATTCTAAAATTGAACCAGGGGTAGGAAATGATGAAAGTCCTTCTGATAGAGATAAAAATATGAATGACATTGCTGAGATTCAGGAGCCAATTGATGAAGAAGAGCCTCATAATCAATCTGAGCACCAAGTTGATAAGAGTAGAGATCAACTTCTTATGGACCAAGTTGAGAATGGAAATCTAGAAAATAGTAGACCGAAAGGCTTGAATAAAGCAGATAATTATCAGAAAAAGGCTTCGGATGATACTGATTTCAGTAAGAATAAAGTCATTGGTGAGGAGGTCAAGAATGATCCTATTGAGGATCCTCCTAGAAGTAAAGGGCAAAGCCTCAAGGATTGGCTTAAAAAATCATTAAAGAAGCTTCTTTTGAAAACCCTGAAGAATCTTGAATCCGATAATTATTGGAATGTTTACTTCAGATTTATGATAGAGTCCTTCATGGGAGGCGTGCTAGTCACATTGAATGAGATGAAGACCAATAATGCCAGCAATAGATGGGAGAAGCTATCCTTAGCCATATCATATATCTTCTTCACCATTTTCCTCGCTTTCTACGTCTTTGTATTAGTAGTTTGATACAAAGAATTTAAAAGAAGAAAAGGATACGAGCTCATCCCTCAATCAGATAATGAAGAAATCGGACTTCCAGGTAAACACATGATGCTATTTATAGATGTTGAAGATGAAATATATGGAGAGATATTCGCAGATCTCGACAAATAAGCTCTTGCTGTACTCCACCAGCCTCTAAATCTGACAAGAATCTTAATAATGGTTTTCTTTGTCATGGTAGTGAACATGTACGATGAATCAACAGTGTGGATAATTTTCATTCTAATGCTGGTCTTACAAACAGGATACACTATACAGGCTTATAAAATTCTAAAATTTAAATGGTGGCCATTAAAGGTCATCTACCTTATTAACGAAGTATTCCTTTGTCTGTTCGTAGCTGTATTCGGATTCCTAAAGACGTACCAGGATTGGAAGAATAGTAATGAAGTTATCTAACCTCTAGGTGCCTCCAAGGTCCTCGTTCTTCTAATGATTTTCTGCAATACGATGTCAGTCATTTTCTTCCAAACAGTAAATTTTTATCTATCACTTTAGTGCGGAAATTACATCCAGTCAAAACTTGTGTGCGGGAGTAAGGATTCAAATAAATTTAATAGGCCTAAAGAATAGATTGTTTAAGTAAAATAAGTACCAAGGGAATGGTTCTGTACAATTTTGGTATAAAATATAGAACTCAGGGTACAAATTCAAGTTCAGAAATCAAGGTATCTTCTTCGTTATGAGGCTTATATGAGTTTTATGAAGCAATATGATTATTTAGCGATGAAACATTTTTATAGCAACCCAATTCCCACAAGAAGTTAAAGATAATATTGAGAATCCAGTGCAAGAAGAGTCTAAATCTTCACAATCCAGAAATGAGGATGAAGAGAGCAAAGAGGAGAAGAATAGCCTTCATGAAGATTTGAAAGAAGGAGATGGTAAATTTTAGATCAATGCTTCAAATTTTTATTTTCAGCTTTGCCTATTTGAAGTTTGTGTTAAAATTTAAATGAATTTTATTCAAAAGTTGCCACTTTGAACTTAAGTGTTTAATTTAAATTTAGATAATCAAGATAATCTTTCCTTCTAAATTATTTTATTAGAAACAATCGAATTCCTCATTCCTCAAAAAGCTGCTAGGAAAGTCTCTAAAGATGAAAGGAAGAATTTCAGTTCGATAATGCCTATATTTTATCCTAAATAAATTAAAAAAAATCTAGGAATTATTAAGTTTTGCTCTGTTTCTTCATGAACACACTTTTCCTTCAAAATACACTTTTCTTTCAAAATACACTTAAATTAGTTCATCTATTTATCTTTACAAAAAGTCATACTAAGAATTATAATTTGACTAAAGATACACATCTTAATTCAAATTACAACCAGAGAAATGCCAAACAAAAAGCTGCAAAGAAAGGTAATATTTAACATAAAAGCCAAATCCCTGAAAATATCCCTAAATGTCGACCACACTGCTCTGATAACTCTTCCTCCTCTAGAACCTTCAACACAAAACCAGTACATGGTCACAGATAAGGCCATTAATATCTCTAATTTCCACAACCCAGAGCACCTTGCTGAAAATGCCTCTGATTCTCATTTGCCTTCATTGGCCCCATCTCCTCTTCCTAAGGCTCAACTAAACAGTTTTCCTTTCATTAGTGATCCTGAGACTCCAATTTCGTTGATAAGGAAGAATCATAGAGAATTAAGAAAAGAGAGAAGTAAAAAAGGGGATTAAGATGGTGAATGAAGTTGGGAAGAGGAGGATTGAGGCATAATAAGTGCAGTTTTAAAAGATTTAAAAATTTCAATTTGGCATTTTGAAAAAGGGGTTTTGGGGTTTTGGGGTTTTGGGG